CCTGCCGGCCCAAGGCAAATCAGCCTGGGTGCTTCGCTGCGCGACAGCATACCCGCTGGGCTGGCCTTCCGGATGCTTGCAACTAAACCTAACGTCCTAAGGCGCCTCAGCCTGGGCGCTTCGCTGCGCGAAAGCATGCCCCCTGGGCTGGCCTTCCGGATAGAATGCAGCTCCACACGGTAGCTCGGCCCTTCGCGAGACCTCCTTCGGATGAACCGCATCGGCCCCCTCCGGGTAACTAGTTGGTCCGCCATTCTGACGTCCTCCTTCGTCTCGCTGTTGAATGATGTCCTCCAAGCCTTCTTGGACTCCGCCGCGCGATTCCTCGCGCTCTGCCATCACTTCGCTGTTACTGGCGACCGATATGCCAGCAACGTCGGATCGCCTTATCTACTTTCCTATTGAGCTGGGTCACGAATACAAAGTAAATCCCTATTTAAACAATTCAAACTCCCCAACAGACGACGTTCTGACTTGCGCTTGCTTGCATGGTTGACTGGCGAACTTGCGTTGTCTGGATTCAGCGCTTTGTTCCCAGCTAAACTTTGTAACGAACTACCGTATCAGTCCCTGTCCTCTGGCCCATTCTGGTCTGCGCCTTCCCGCGCCGCACTTGCCGTACTGCACTACAGGACGAGCACTTAATCAACATGCAGTGTTGATGCTGCAGCTGATGCTGATTATCTGGTTCGTACGTTAATGGACGCTTTTTATAAGGGTGATGGATAAGCGAGGGACTTGACAACCTTGCCCTTGGTTTACGACACCAAATTGCGGGCCGTTTTAAAGGTGACGGCCCTTTGCGACGTAAGCAGTACGAGTAGGGTGCAACAACACTTAAATCATCATGCAACCTAGCACTAAAAATAATTTACGAATCAAAGTAGAGTAGATATCTGGTATTGCCAGATCTTCCCGGTGTAGCGCCTGTTCTGATTAAGAACATGTACAGCGGTTATGACTCGAAGGTGGGAATAAGGCGCAGGCCTACTTCCTACCTGGTTTTTAGCTTAGAATGCTCTGATTATTTAATTTATATTGATTATATTGTTTATTGTATCTTCTAGCAATGCTTTTGCGTGATGGAACGATGCCGCGATCGCCTGATTGTACCCTTGTGTCGTACATGCAAACAAACTAAGGGCCGCCAAAGAAGTGCCGTCATCAGTAGCCAGTGTAAATTTTGTGATGCCTCTTTTAAAGATTATCTTATTCCAGCCTTTTGAGCTAAGACACCATCGGAGCATTTACCAAGGGTTGTACGCTTAAGCAGCGGAGCCGCTCCTTTGTCCTGGCGACATACTATCACCATGCGACGTTGTTCCCTGCCAAAGAAGATCTAGGTAACCAAGTTTATACGTGGAACTATATGCGCATGATTGTAGGGCTTGTGCCTCGCGCAGCTCTCTCCACCTCCAGTTTCAACCAACCATAGCAATCTTCACATCTGATGCTTCTCTTGGTAAGAGGCCAGGTTAGCATTGCATGCCCCTTGTATCTTTGTTGGGCGGTGCGAACGTGGCTGTTTTCGCAGCAGACCGGCGCATAGTGAGTTTTACGTTCGTGTAAACTTTTGCGTCAGTTCAGGTCAATTACAGTGCCCTGATTGTGAACATGTCTTGAAGACGTATTCCGTATGAATAGCAGCCTCCAGTGGTCCTTAGCCGACCAACCGCCACGTATGATTTGGATCAGTGATCACGCTCTGCTTGTTGGCACTTATCCTTTTATTATTCCTTTGACACAAACTTACAGGCTCATGCGATGTATGCCTAATCGAGACGCAACTGGACTAATCACGTCTTGCCGCGCAAATGACAATGGCTGGCGCAGTCCACCAAGATTGCCATGTGCGCAGCTGCTCAATTGATAACAGAGGAAAGTCCAATCTGTTATCAGCGCCGGATATCAGCACCGATGCACCTCGTCCCTACCTACCATTCGTCGATGAACATGACAAGGTCGCAAGCCACACAATCCGTCAATCCCGCAGCAGCAATTTTTCTCCACCGTCACCGGAAGAGGCAAAAGCAATGATTGGCGCTACGTTCCCTTGTGGACCTGTAACCCTTACCATGATGGCTCTGCTACGGGGCCGCGCGAACTCCAGCACTGGCGATACCAACGCGAAATTAGTTGATACCCAGAGCACCTCAAAAGAATCTTCATGTGAAGGGGCAAACGCCGGACCGAAGGCTGCTTCGGACGAAGCTCAGCCAGTCCGCGCAAGCAGCAAGACGACGCATCCAAGATCATTGCCGGTAACTAGGCACACGCCGCTGACTCACACACGCGTCCATCTGCTCCAGGATTTGACGGCAAATATTCATCAACCAGATGGAATCTCTTCAGCTTCAGCAGGCAATCAGCGGCCTCAGGAATATCCCAGCGTCCCCGCGATAACTAGCGGCACCGCCGTCGCGACGCCCGAAGCGGCATTGCCGCCGCAGCAGCAACCTCACCCCGCGTTAAATAATCGGGACAGTCTGCCTCACAGTGAAGAGGCCTCGGAGCGACGCATTCCGTACCAGCTCTCGTCCTTCTCTAATTTGCCACAAGCACATGAATCTCAGGAACCATCCGACCAGGGACAAGTCGTGACTGCCCGGCCTGCATCGGCAGCATTAATAACTACAGCTAACTCCAGACTGGAGGTGGCCCCTGTCGTGGCTGCCAAGGCTATCACCACGCCGGCGCCCGCGGTCGCCTCAGCTCAGCCAGGAGGTGGCGGCGGCGAAGACCAAGGTGAACGCGAACGAAGTGTGGGCTGCAGCGGAGGCCCCGCGGATAGCGCTTCACTCGACGTCGCACTGGACGCAGCGCCGCTACAGCCGTCACCGCTGCCGCAGAAGCGGCAGCAACGCCTGTCAACCCTGCTGCCCACCATGTCGTACGGTACGGCGTTGCCTCCTGTAGTGAACCACAGGAGTTGTGGTGAAACACCGGTCGCTCGCACTGCAGCAGGGTGGAAGTCGGAGGCAGCGGCGACGCCGCCGCCGTTGTTGGGGCTGGGTGCCGTACTTCAGGGCCAAGGCCAAGGGACATCGCCATCTCCGTCGGGGCTACGGCCGCAGCCGGAGGCAGCGCTGCCGCCGCTGGAGCGGCTGCCAAAGCCCGTGCTGGTGCAAGTCGCCTCACGCTGCCGCCGCAACGATTCCCGGTCACCAACTCACAGGAAAATCACCCGCGGCGCCGTGGGTTTGTTCCACCCCCAGCTCTACCTGAGCGGTGGCAACTGCATCGAATGCGGAAACGAGATGATGAGCCGCGGAAAGTATGTACGGATATATGTACGGGAAGGTGTACGGGAAAGGGCTGCATCGGCGTTCGGACGAGTAGACTTATTGCGTGCGTTAAAAGTGCCGGGCATGCCCGGAAAGCGCCATCACCGAGCCGCACGACCTTGCCCACCCGCCTGTCTGTCCGTCTGTCTGCCGGTCTGTCCGTCTGTCTGTGACGCCCTCCCGAACCACTGATGTGTCCTGCGCCCTCTTCGGTTGCCTCCTCCCCTTTCCCCCCTTCCCAGCTCACTCCTCTCCCCCGTCCCCCCACCCCCACCTCAACTGCCCCCTCCGGCACACACACCCCGCGCACACGCTCAGGTTCGAGCGGCTGGCCGGCACTGCCACCGCCAAGTGGCACGTCAGCATCAAGGTGCTCCCCTCGGGCGTCACCCTGGGCAAGTGGCTGCAGCAACACGGACTGCCAATACTACAGGTGGGGGGGGAGGAGGTGGAGGAGGAGGGGGGCAGGAGGTGCAGCCCCTCGATTGCACAAACCAAATCAGAAAGACCCCCTTCAGGAAGCTTCACCGAAACATAGTCGTGAATTTCCCCTGGGACCCGCCGTTGCGACCTCCGCCTTGCCACTTCTCAGCTTGTGCACCACTGTACCGTGTACTGCGCGGTACGGCGCCGCGCCGGCGCCGTACACGCTGCGCTCCTCGCTGTCCGTAGGGTCGTCCACGCAGGCGCAGGGCCGACAGCGTCGAGGGTGACGACGCGGCCGACGGGCCGGAGGACATCGCGATGGCCGAGAGCGAGGACGAGGACGGAGGCGAGGACGTGAGCGATGCGGTCATGAGGGAGAGCCGAGACAGTGGCGAAGGCCCCGCTGCCCGTGCGCTACTTCCTGCGCCGCCAGGTGCCGCAGAGCCAGCAATCGGAGGAAATGGAGGAGGGGGCTGCTATACCGCCGCTGCTATGCGCTATGCTACTTCCGCCGCAACACCTTTGTTCTGGAATAGCTCAGCCATCAGCTGCCCGATCGGTGCCGGGGCTGCAGGCGGCGGCGGCGGCGACGCTGATTCTTCTCCCGGGGTTGCGCCTTTGTACGGCCATGCGGGACGTGGCAACGCGGGACTGAGAGGCAGCAGCGCGGCGGCTGGTACGAATATAGACGAACCGCTTTTGGAGCTTTTGGAAAGCTCGGGCATCGTGCAGGACATCTACGGCAGCTCGCAGGATAGGGCCAATGCCACGACATGCTGCGTCTTGGCCTCCAGCGCCGTAACGGCTCAGGCACCGCCACCGCCATTACATGGGGGCCCCATGGTGCCAAGCGGAGGCGGCGGAGGCGTTGCTGTTGCCGCGCTGCCTCTCCCGAATGATACGATGGCCGCCGCTGCAGACGGCCGTCACGGCAGGAGCGTTTTTGACACTTGCTGCCGTAATCCGCAACACCCTCGAATTGGCTGTAACACCGCCTTTAAGACTTCTGCTGCCTTTCCGATGGTCGGCGCCTCTCCTGCCGAACATGGCACCTCCGCCCTCCACAACGGAGCGGCTCCTCACCGCCCAGGTGTTAGCTGCGGCAGGGCCGTCCCTGTGGCGGGTGGAGGCTGTGGGAATCCCCCCCCGCCTTCCGCTCCAGCCAGCCTGGAGTTGGCCTCGCCGTTCCACCCTCCCCCCGCTTGGTCGTCGTCAGGAGAACCTGGAGCGCCTGCAGCCGCTATCGTTGCTACTGGCCCCCATGGGCTGCCGCTACAGCGCTACAGCAGCGCTACAGTGCAGTACGGTTTCTCCTCCGTACCGCCGTACAACTGCGCCGGCTCGTCAATGGGCCCCAGCCCTGCTGCGGCGGGAGGAGCTATACTCGCGTTTGATGGTGGTGGTAATGGTGATGACGGTGATGGTGGTGGTGGCGGCGATGGCCGCGATTGCAGGTCTTCCAGTGGTGCAGGTGTCGACGGTATTACCGGCAATGCCCTCCAAGCGCCCGCGGAAACATTGGATGCACCTTCCCCTCCCGCCCCTGTGTGCCGGTACGGCAGCGCTGCTGCAGCCGCTGGCAGAGCAGCCATTGCTGGTACCAGTCCCACTCACACCCAAACCCCCACTATTCCCCCCAGCTCTGTTACCGGATGTGAGTCCCGCTGTGATATCGGCGACCATGAGCTCGTGCCCGGCGGCACCGTACGAGGCAACGACGAGATGCGACCGCGCCGCAGCAGCGTACACAGCAACGTCGGCCTTCAGCAACACCAGCTAGATTCCGATGCTGACGGATTTGCTGCAGCCGCAGCCACCAGCCCGCCTGTGCCATCATCGATGCACCCGTCAGCATCCCTGGCGCTGCGTCCAGCACGTCAGGCGCCAATGATGATGACGATGATGATGCGAAGAGCCACCAACATCGCGACGCAATGTGAGATGGACTCCATGGCGAGCTACGACCCGTGGCTCAGTGACGAAGGTCGAGCCGTCGCCGGCGGCCGTGGCGGTAGTCTCCGGGAGAACCTGACGGCGGCCGTGTCGTACACTGACCCCTGGGAGCCCACCGCGGCGGCAGCGGAGTCCAGAGCTTCCGTTAGCGGTATTCCCTTGGGACAGGAGCAGCAGCAGCTGCTGCTGCTGCAGCAACAGCAGGCCCCGCAGGTCCAGCCAGGGCCGCCGGTCCTATCACAGCAGCAGCAGTCACTGCTGTTGCAGCCTTTTGGGTCGCAAGGACGACCTTACAATCATATGGCGATGCAAAAGCAACAACAGAGAATGCCGCCGCTCCATATGCGGCAGCAGCAGCAGCATTCTGGCTACCAGGATGCTGCTGATGAGCAGCACCGCCAGGCGCAGCAGTGGCAAGTGCTTCAACAGCCATCACAGCTGCACCAGCTGCCGCAGCTGGGAGGACAGCAGCAGCAGACATTACAGCCACAGCTGCAAGCTTTTCCTTGGCAGCACCAGCAGCAACAACGGCCGCCACCTTTACCATACATGAGCCCCTCACCGCTCCATTCTCTACAAGCCCCGCCCCAGCGCCTGCAACCGCAGCAGCTGCAGGAGCAACATCATCAGCAGCAACATCAGGAACAGCAGCAACACCCTTCGTTGCAATACCGCTCGCAGCATTACCAGCTACAGCAGCAGCAACGGCTGTCCGCCCGCGTACATCCCTACTTGCGGCCTGCCGATTACCGCCACTACCACCACCACTACCACCACCACCACTGCCAGGAGCAGCAGCAGCAGCAGCAGCAGCAACAGCACAATGTAGGGCAAATGTTGCACCAAGAAGGACATAAACCGTGTCCTGAAGCAATAGACGAATGGCATTGGCTGCACCAGCACCAGCACCTGCTGCTGCAGTTGCGGCAACAGCAGCAGAAGCAAGCGGCAGAAGTGAACTGCCATGTGGCTGATTTCCCTGAGGAGCGCTGCAGCCGAACATCGGGAGCAGTAGCCGCGTGTCCTGTAGTAACAAGGCCCGATTGGGCGCAGCAGTCGAAGGGACCGGGGACTCCGGTGGGTAAGGCGACCAGCGGACCTGTCCAGCCGCCGCCGTTACCGGCAGCACGTTATATATACGACCGCACTCACGTGCATTCGTCTCTGCCGCCTCTGCCACCTCTGCCGCAGCTGCCACCGCCGCAACAGTGGCAGCAGTATTAGCCCCAGGCTTATTTAGGACATCAGGAAGTTGCGTCGCCATTCTCCACAGGCCGGCCGGCCGGCTGTGTGTCTGTTTGTGTGGCTGGCTGGCTGTTGGCTGGTGTTACGGCTCGGGGTTAGGCCGCTGAGCTGCACATTCATCATGTTGGGTACATGTATGTGAAGATAGCGTTCGATAAGCTGATGTGTGAGTACTGTTGGTGTGTAAACCTCCTCCGTTGGGTGATTTGACACATTTGGAAATACACGGATGCGAATTGTTGCCCTGTTGCAGCGGAGTTGCAGTTCCCGAATGTAGGTAGGCTCTGCAGGTGATGGTGGCCAACCAGGGCCCCGTAGAGGACAGCAGCTCATACACCTTGCACATGCGTGTGTGGGCGGATAGTGGTGGTTACGGTGGTTACGGTTGTTACGGTTGTTACGGCATGTGTGTAAAGGGCTGCCGGAAGGGGACACGCCTAGTAGATTGCTAACTAGCACCACATCTATCTATCTCTACCGTACTGCAGCCCCTTGCATCATTCTCATGCGGACTCTTGCTGCTTACTTGAAGCACCATGCTGCTCCCGGCTCCTGGTCGATGTTTCACCCCTTCATCCGGAGGGACGAGATGCAGCCTGCTGTTGTTACTTCCTTATTTGTTTTGTCAAGTCAAGTATAGTAAAGCATATAATGCACTGATCATGCTTTGTGCGCGGTTGGCTCTTAAAGGAGGAGGGCCCCTTTCGAGGAAGGGACTTGGAAGGGGCTCCTAGCCTGGGAACTAGGACGAGCGGCGATCGGTGGGGGAAATTCCACATGCCGTGGGGTATCTGAGCAGCCATACGTTTGCGGAGTTGAGCGGCGTGCGGTGAGCTTGGGTTAGTCAGGGTTTGGGGGGCTAGTAGTGGTGGGGCTGGGGGGTTCCCGGCATGGCGGGCAGTACCGGCGTGCGAGACCGTACACAGCAGGACTATTAGAACTACGTGTGCACGTGCATATGCACCAGGCTGGACCAGCAGCCAGAGTAGGTGGGCAGCAGGCACCACGGCCCGTGGCTATAGGTAGGAACTGTGGGAAATAAACGGCAAACATGTGTATCGGTCTGCAAGGGGCAGGCCCAGCTGGAAACTGACGGGACGCATCCAATCGCCGCATCCAATCCGCCACGTTCACGTTCGCGTCGTCACGCTGCCCAGGTGACTCCATCCGGCAGGCGCCGCTACCGCCACGTCATCTGCAATCGCTCGTGCATTTGAGTACTACTAGTAGTATTGGTTAGACGGGAGCGTTCCCTACTGGAATGGCTTATATGGAGAGCAGAAGGGTGGGAGGAGGAGGAGGAGGAGGCCCATTCATGTCTTTCGCAGGGGAACTGCAAGCAGTCTCGCCATCTCCACAATAAGGCTAGACTAGAAGATGCTGATAAGTTTGTCCATCGTCCCTTGCTCTTTCTAATACTGGAATGGCTGCCACGATTGCAGATAGGGGCGGGCGGCCGGCGACACCAAGCACACTTAGCTGTAGTAAGCGCTCGTGCAATGCGGAGAGGCGCCATCTTTACTAAAGACCAACAGCGTTATACGCTTCCATTCAAAATTTGCGGCTGTAGTGCACATGGTGATTGCTGATATGGTTTGTAGAGCATCATAATAGAGTGACTGTAGCAGCAGTTTGCTAACGTTCGGTGTCGTGTGTGTGTGTGTGTGTGTGCTGGAGTTGTGTGACGTAGCATGTACACGTGCGCGCGGGGTAACGTATGTATGATGTGTGAAACAGGGGGGTGTATCTTCGCCCGTGGCAGCTACCCTGCGAAACCCTGCCTTCCCCGGTATTTCGGGGCACCCTCATCCAGTCACCCTAGTCAACTTCTCAGTGGATCGCTCAGGTTCCGCACCCACCACCAGCATGGGTCGACAGCGGCCCAACTCCGTTCCTGGTCGGCTCGCAGGTTAACTTTATCCCAGGTCACCACCGTCCATCAACTAGGGGCGCAATGCCTTCCACCATCAGAAAGACTTTTGACCCTAACGGGTATCGATCCCGGGTATGTATGTCTGTCGTCACAAACACTTTCCCCGCGGTGCCTCCTCGCCGCGGCATATGGAGGAGCCACATGCATTGCTTTATCTTCCCATCTATATACCGCACCAGCATCATTGGGCTTCAAGTTTGCCCACGCCATTCGTATATTTTTTCGTACACGGTAACTTAAAACTGTATTACTGTGCTTATACCTGTGATTGCCGCGACATGTTGCCGTGTCCCCTGCTGTTGCTGTCCCCTTTTTTCCGACTTGTAGTTGCCTCCTGATTGGCTGCCGTGTGTTCGTGTGTGCATGCGTGCATGAATGCGAGGCTTTTCGTAGGGTAGCGGCAGTAGGAATGCTAGTAGGGGCGGCCTTACTTAAGATGGCGTTAGTTTGGAAGACCCAGGGGTCACTAAGGGTGGATGGATGGAGGACACCCGCTGCAGCTGTTTGCATGCATTCACTTGCCATACGCCCATCGTTATTACCCGTCCCAGCACTCCTCCTTCGGAAGGCTATGGCACAGAAGGACATACACACGTACGCTGGATCAGCCCTTAGACAACGGTTTTGTAGTTTTTTTCAGGGCCACATTTTGGGTTACAATTTTGGGTTATCATCGCATGTTAGACATGGGTTTACTTTTTCAATTGCCCCAAGCCTGGTAATGTGCATAGGCCCGCCGCCCGAATTGCGGCTCAGCAGGAGCTCACATTACGACAAACAAACAAACATACCTACATACCGCCCGCGGCTGGCTCTTGTGCAGCTGCCGCTGTGCTGACTGCTGCTGCTGCTACTACGGGGTGAAGGTGTCTACTTAGCTTAAGGAGACATTGAACATTATACATACTACTGTAGCAGGTGCCTAATTTATTCCCGTATTTATTCCGGCGGGAAGGATGTATCGGTGGCATGCGGAGATCGTTTATTGGTGCATGTATGTATGTTGTTACAGGGTGGTTAACTTCGCCAGCGGCCCCCTTTCCCGGGGCAGTCCCTGCTCTCCCCTGCTAGAGGGGCACCCTAATCCGTCACCCCATCCGACTTCAGAATGTATTCGTTGGGTTCGGCAACTCACCACCAGCATCAAACCAAATCTAGCGGATCAACGGCGCATCAACTTAGTTCCTGGTCAGCTCGCAAGTTGATATTATCACGTCCTACACCGTCCATATGATGGGGGGCCACCTCCCATTTCATCACTCCTCAATCACCCGAGGAGCTGGCAGGCGGATTTGAACCCGGGTCGACTGGATCGACTGGGAGCAGAAGTCAGGCCTTAACTTCTGCCAGCCGCCTGTATGTATGTATGTACACGCGCCATTGAGCGTGTGTCTTTCGTGTGTTCATCGTGTCATATATATTTGCTTTTTGTAGTGTACGTCTAGTGTAGCTGTGCATTAGTTGTACACTTTACATTACTGTTGCACAACATGAAGGAATTATAGCAGACCTAGCTACATAGCTAGTTATCAAGCAAGCGTAGCCCAAGCGGGCACCACATTAGTATTGTGTAAGGTACGGAATATTATACGGCGTGAGGTGTGTTTGCCATTCAGTAATTGAAGGCAACAATTCAATGACATCAATGGTGCTATACCCACACACAAACGCACAAAGGCTGGAGCGAATGTGTGTAAAAAATGTGTATGTATGTGTGTGTCTGTCTGTTTGTGTGTCTGTGCATGTATGTGCATGATGTGTGAAACAGGGGGGTGTATCTTCGCCCGTGGCAGCTACCCTGCGAAACCCTGCCTTCCCCGGTATTTCGGGGCACCCTCATCCAGTCACCCTAGTCAACTTCTCAGTGGATCGCTCAGGTTCCGCACCCATCACCAGCATCCAACGGAATCTGCCGGGTCGACAGCGGCCCAACTCCATTCCTGGTCGGCTCGCGGATTAACTTTATCCCAGGTCACCACCGTCCATCAACTAGGGCCGCAATGCCTTCCACCATTGGAAGGACCTTTGACCCTAATGGATATCGATCCCGGGATCTCCCGGGGGCAATGGTCGCGCCGTACCAGTAGTGCCAAACCCTATGTGTATGTATACATGCGGTTAGCCACGCGGTAGAGGTTAGTCTAACTGTATTCCTGTTATACTTGTATGTACTTGCTTTACAGGAGGGAAACGCGCTTGCGTTGCCCTTACATCTGTTCTTGCCTGCACGTAAATTTACGTGCTTGAATTGTTTTTATGTCTGTCCTTCCGCGTCCTTTCATTCTGCATCTGTATGGGCATGCAAAACGGACTCACGTACGGGCATATGTATGTCTTTGCGCGAGTAGCTGGCTTGCTTTGCTTTTACAATGATGGTCTACACCCCCATATGCATGAGCGTGTGTGAGAAGAGTGTGAGAGAGAGAGTGTGTGAGTGTGTGTATGTGTATGTGTGTATGTGTGCATGCATGGAATTGTGTAGTGTCGTCGTTGATAGATAGTGAGGGCTTGATGTGGGGCAACGCAGTGTTTAGTTCCCTTAGTTCCCTTGGCTTTGTTTAATCGCTTCCTTTCGCCACATTAATAAAAGCGATGAATAAGATAAAGTGCGCACGCACCGGAAGGGCAGTGGAAACATCAGCGGGTCTGTGTGTGCTTTCTGTGAGGCAGATGCATCATACATAATGAAAAAACACCGTGCACTTGTAGATGGCTGGGCAGCGAGGCTAGAAATAAACAAAACTACCATACAGAGCAGTTGGTTGTTACAACCACGACCACCAAGCACCAGCAACGGCTAGATATATACGTCTGCTGTGCAAGGCTATGTCGGGGGCTGTGCAAGGCTGTGCACGCGTACACCTGTCATGGGTTGATTTCGAAACACGACCTCGAGAGACATTGCGATGGTTCTGCGCCCCGCGGATACACCGTGGCTCATCGTGTGCCTCGCTCATGTAGGTGGCTACTATTAAGTCATTATTAGGCTCGTCATATATACGATATATGCTTGCGCAAATTATTTTGAGCTGCAAGGCGCCAGAAC